TCAAAAAGAAATCCGCTCAAATTAAGAGGCTTGGTCCTTGATTTAATCAAAAATCCGATTGAATCAAGAGTATTTTTTCTTGTCAATGTTTTTAAGAGTCTAGACTCTTGATCCAATGTGTTTTGTTTCCAGTGTAGCATTATTTTAATGTAAAACCTATATTGAAACACGTCGGACACTTTTTTAACTACAAAGTTGTTCAATCAGCAATTGCATTTTTTTCGTGTATTTCTTGAGGGTAAATTTAAGATTTTCAATCAATCCGCATCGCAGATGAAAATCAAATCAAGTTTACCCGACTCCATCCACTGCCCACTCCCTCGACCCCCCGCAAAATTCGGGCCCGGGCAACTTTCACCGGGGCAGAATTTACGACAAAACCGAGAGTAGAAGTTTTCGCGGCGTCGGCGCCCCGGGAGGTTCTCGGAATCGATGACCGGATTTCGAGGATCTCTTTCTCTTTCGATTTTTTTCCACTAATTTATTTTTAGTCCCGAGACCTGGCTCTGAGACAATAAAATAGCGCCGGGGCCGGAGAGGGGCGCGGATCCCAAATCCCACTTCCGAAGCTAAAACCGCGTAACCGGTCACGGTTCCCACGGGACGATACGCTGTTTCTGCAAACGACGAATCCGGTTCTTCCAGCGGAATTTTAATGTCGGACCGCGGCCGTGAACTAACCTCAATTCGCGCGAGCTCCGGCTTTTGCTTCCAGCCACCGTTTGCATACGCACACACACACACACGCGAGCGCGCGCGGAACGCATTTAAGAAAGGAGCCGCCTTGCGACACGTTGCCGTTTTTTCGTCGCCTTTGGCCTTTCCGGCTCCAGCCCGGGATTCCGCGAGATTCAGACCAACTGTTAACTCATTTCCTCTCGTGTTGGATTTTTTTTTTCTCAAGAAAGAACCGCACAACGAAACGTCTTGAAACATTTTGTGAATCCTCTTTATATCATAAAGAACACATCTACAAAATTATCTCGGCTCAAGCCCGGGATTCCACGAGATTCAGCACGACTGCTAACTCATTTCCTCTCGTGTCTCGTTTTTTTTTCTCAAGACAGAACCGCACAACGAAATGTCTCGAAACGTTTCGTCGTTTCCCGCAAGAAGGAACGTAACTGCATTTCAATGTTGCCAAATCTCCTTGCGCAAATTGCATTTTTACCGGGAGAATTTCGGACATTTCTGACTGAAAAATTCCCTGATTTTTCTTCCGATTTTATGCGAAAATCGGACCAATTTTCTCCTAAAACACGCATTCTTGTTAAATATTGAATTGTTTGAGTCAATTTTGCAACCTTGGAATGGTGTTACGTTCTTTTGTCTGGGAGACGACGATTTTGTGAATCCCCTTCATAACATAGAGAACATATCTACGAAATTTGAAATCAGAGTGCTGCTCGGTTCTCTATTAAAAACATACAACACGAGAAAGAATTTAGCAACACTTTGATAATGGTAGGCCAGTGGCGATTCTTGAAAATTGGCAACACTGTATTTCCTCCATTTAAAGGCACGTAAAACAATCGATTCTTATTGAGGCAGCTTGCCTCGAGTGTAATCGATATTTTTAATGGATTTTAATTCAGGAGTAACACTGTTGCCAACTTGCAAAAATCGCCAGTGAGTCAAGCTGATTCAGGTTGAATTCGCCCTACACTGGAAAAAAGTGACTTGAAAAGGAGATATTCTCGATCTCTCGCCAAGAGGAGATGTAATAGAGAAAATCAAATCAAGAAGATAATATGCTTATAATGAGTAACAAAATAACCCATATTACACAGAACTCAGCTTGCTTTAAGTGATGCTATTCATGATTCAAGAAAAATTCTCTTGGCGGGAAATTCAAGTCACTTTTTCCCCTCAGTGATTAATTTTGAAAATTCCAAAGAATTTTTAGATGAAAGAAGCAATCGTTAAAAGATGACATGTTGAGTTAACTAAGTAAGGATTAACGGTTCATTATTTTTTTCACGAGTAAACATCGGTGTACATTTTCGCAGCTATTGCTATGAACTGACTGAGAACTGCGCGAAACTGCAAGTGTTTCTTAGAATAGTAATTAGGTACGAAGAATTTCTAACAATTTAACCCTTTCCAGTAAAAACGCCGGTAAAATATCGGCGGTATTATTTTTTCGCAAAAGAGGTATTTCCTCCCTATTGATCCATTGTCACTTTTTTTGGGAGCTGGTTTCCATAGTTCACGCTAAGAGTCATAGTCAAGATTTGCACCGTGACTGCTGCTTAGATAATTACAGCTTAAAAAATAATTAAAAAATTGAACATACATAAAATATTGACTTATTAACTATGAAAGTAATATCTGATAAACATCATTATTTACACTTTTACATGATAACAAAAAAGTTATATGAAATTGAGCACTTAATTTCCGTAAAACTATAATATTTTTAATTTTTTATTTATATTTTAGCATATTCTAGGGATTCCTAAAAAAAAAATTCAGGAGGAAACAAAAGGAAAAAAATCACGGGCAAGAATTTATTAGTGCTTCTTCAGAATCAGTTGAAACTATAGATGTATAAGAGAATAAATAGACCGTCGACTCCGAGGGTCAAACCGATAATATATCGTTGGTGAAAGGATCGAACTGAAGCTTCAACTTTTCTCTTGCACAATCAATTTTGATATTTCTTTTGATTTCGTTTTATTTTATGGAAGTCGTGCTCTGCGCACAGAGATTAAGTCTTTGAAGCTATGTAGATTTTTTTTTTCAAAGAAGTTATTCATTTTTCTCGCAGAAGAAATCCCCAAGCGGAGAATGTATCTGGAAACTGTCTCACGTCAAGTGCGGAGAAAGAACAACAAAAAAAGTGAGGTAAAAAATAAAAGGAAATAGAATAAACTACTGAAATTTTTGTGCAGAATACGACTCAAAATCTATTTAAAACCCGTTTGTTATGACAGAATTTTATAAGAAAACGTCTCTGAAACGTTTTTCCCTATAAGATATTGATCAAAGGCTCTGTCTCTTGACCCGGCTATTTTCATTTACCGTTTTTTATTTAGATTCGGACAAGAGCGCTCATAGAGATGGAAACGTATCTAGATCATGTAATTTCTTTTAAAGATCAGATGATCCCCAACCCAAAAAGGGGTATTGGATAAATACTACTATTCCTCATTACAACAATTTTTTCTGCGCTAATCGTCTTAAAAGTAACTTACATCAAACAAATTGTTAAAACAGGCAACATGATCGTGTTCCTCCCTTCTCGTTGATTTGGAATTGACAAATGAAAACGCATCGTTGTAGATCGCACCCGTACTTTGACGCTTAATGAAAAAAAAAAATCTACTGAATGAAATGAGTAGCTAAGTCAAAAACATAATTTTCAAAGAAATGTTAGACTTTTCAGCCCTACTCATGCGTCAATTCAAACGTAAATCTTCACAGTGCCCAATCAGGAGAGAGGTAGAGACGGATCCAGCAATTTGGCAACACCGGGGTTCCTCCATTAACCTATGTTAAATAATCGATCCTTGTCGGAACAATTGGCCCCTCCAAGAATCGATACATTTCCATAGGTTCAAATGGAGAAAAACAATGTTGCCAATTTACTGAATCCGCCAATGGTGAGATGAGGAAGGAATACGATAAATATAATACATAGTTAATAATTCAGGCACACCATGGTTAACACTCAAAACACAGTCAATCTTGTCTCCTCACACTCTTTCTCACAATAATCACAATTAAAAAATTTACGCAAGCAAACTTACAAAGAAGGAAAAATAATTTAAGTACAGAAAATTATTTTGAAAAATTTGAAAGAGACTTCCGTCAGATTTATACGTGATTTTATGCTAGCCTTGAGCCTAGAGTATAGAAATAGAGGCACGTATACCATGAACTTACTCCTACCAATGATCATTATCAAGACAATGAAACGCAGAATTGCTTTTGATTCTAAAAATCACAGTTAAAATTCACTAATTTTTCAATCTTAGGACATTGACCGAGCGGTTAATTAGCATACCTGAAATTAAGGGAAAATTATTATTCAAGGCACTCATTGAAAATAATTGATCATGATTAGTTCTTAAACAAATTTTGATTTTAAAACAATTTTTTGATACATCGATTGAATGATTACATCTCTAGGCCAATTTAAAATCTTTAACTATGTACCTATAAAGACGAGAAATTTACAGGAAAAAAGGCGCTGAAATCAAGGATGGCATGCACAGCACGATGGCGAAACTTATAACTGAAAGTCAAAATAAATATATAACAGTCTTTTTAGCTACCCTTATAAGAGCCTAGTTCACAGCAACAAACCCATCTTTGGTCAGAAAATAAATGAGGTTTTACCTCGTGATACCTTAGCAAATAGATTCGCAGCAACAATATTTGCAGAACAGAGAAGTTTTATCATCCCTTCTTCGGTTTCAAAACTATAAAATTCAACTTCAACATTACCCTGAAGTAAAAATCATAATTCCAAAAGGAAAGGTAAAGAGTTTTCTCTTATTTCTTGCTCTACCACCATGTCATTACCTCAAACGCCCTGAATAATTTATGAAAACGTTCATTTCTCTAATTCATTGCACTCTTATTACTTTACACATTTTTTCTGTGTGACTTTTTGTGAAGAGTTATGCTATTTTTTCTCAAAAAAGTTAGAATTGGCAGTTTGAACAGTCAAAACTAACATGAGACCTGAGAGAGAAAACAAGATTAGAAATATTTCAAACGCCATTTAAAAATACAATTCTCTCAGGCGATTTTCAATGCGTGTTAACAAACCGCTTGAATTTGAAAGTTTCGACTTTTTCCAGCCATAGTGTTGTGAACTAGGCTCAAATTACCTCGCGAATCATAGTCGAGGAAACTACCAGTAAGAATAAATAAAATACACAAAACAATGTAATAATTATGATAAGAACATAAATTAAACTATCTTAAAAAAAATAAAAAATTGTATAAAATTGTATAAAACTGTAAACAATTAGAAGACTTACATAATTATAGCTATCGTGGGTTCTATTGTGGTAAAAAGTACCTAAGTATCAAATTCGGAGGAATCGTTCGAGGCTTCCTTCAGAGGCCTCTACTTTAATTCCTACCTCACAGCATTTAAACAGATCAGTTTATGATACGTACTGGAGCGTTGACTTCAATATTAAAAGGAGCTACTCACGTCTCACGTTCATCACGTTTTCTTTTCGAAAACAGAAAAAACGGAGCCGTTAATTGTTTTGGCATCGAAATTCACCATTCAAATATTAATTAATACGTATTTGTTAACTTAGCACAGTAATAAACCAATTATTTGGCACAATAGCTACAGTGGCGCGGCGTGTTTTGCGATCTATCGATTTTTCCCCGTTTGAAGCAATGGTAAATAATCGATTATTAAGGTGTTCGCTGCGAACAGCCTGTTCATCGATACTTTTCCATAGGTTTAAATGGTCGATCAATCGGTATATCGCAAAGCACGCCACGCCACTGAATAGCTGCCGGATAGAGGTACAACGGGGTTTCAGAATCATTTTATTCGAATACTTTCGGAAAGGGATGCGGGCTGAGCGAGTCAATTTTTACGAAAATTAAAATGGCAGAATGGAAACGCTTGAAGGTATCACTACTCGAAATTACTTTGGTGGTAGGTCGGGTACAAGAACCCCAACTAGTTTCGTTTGTCATTATAACCTTAATCTCATCAGCATTCAAATTTTTGTGAGCTGTTATACATTTTTATCGATGGATCATCGTTGCGCCGTCCCTCGGTCGTATAGGCAACACGCTACTCGCAATCAACAATATAAATACTATAGATCGGTAATGGCCTATAAGATTTTCAAATGGTTCTATTTAAATTTGACCAAGGTCTCAGAACAGAGGAGTCAAGTAAGAAATTATGGAAACCACCTACTTAAGGACTATCTTCACCCTAACTTAAGGTTTGCTCCTGGTGGGATGTGAAACTCACCATTGGTGAAGAATAAGATCAGTCAATCCATAGTATTTCTATCGTTGTTCACCGTTCATCAACCAAGCGGTGATTTAATGATCCGGTCGAGATTAAGTACAGATTTGATATTCAGTCGGAATGACGCAACTAGATAACCGACACAAACTCGCAATTTTAGCTATCGCCAATTAGAAAATTCTACGCGACCAGTCAATATCTCTGGCCCTTTCCGATACGCATCGACTTCAAGTGGGGGCGTCACTATGAAAACGAGAAGAAGCATTTTGATTTTTTAGGAACGTTATGAGATGAGAATGTGGAAGAAAGGTGCTTCTTTTTACTAAACGGCCTCAGCCTCGTGTACAGGAAGGCGGACATGATGCAGGTTACAAAGAGAATGGCTAAGAGAACGCAGAGCGTGGCGGAGAAGCCTAGCGTGGTCATGCAGATCATGCCATCGTCTGGCCTGGCCGGGAATACCATCGGAGGAAGCGTGGAGTTACTGGAATCGTCTAGAGAGAAGGTCAAGTCTCCCGTGGAAACTACTCGGATGATCCTACTGACTCCAACATCCTCCTCTTCTTCGGGGACCTCCCGACGGTGTCTCCTAACACGCCTCTCGTCCCTGGGTCGGGTACCTCCGTGGAGATACACATCGATCGGCAGAGATTGGGCTGGTGGAGGTCCGTAAGCTCCGGCTTCAGGTCCGATGGCGGGATGGTGGGCCTCCAGGAGGCTACTGTGCTGAGCGTGGAGGATTGCGCTGGGGTCGGAGCATTGGTCCGGGCACTGGTAGCGACAGATCTGGATCGTGCACTGGAAGTGAACCTCCATCGAGTCCGGGAACTTGAAGGCCTGGAAGTGAGCGTAGGAGAGCACGGAGGCGCTGGCCCCGAAGTTCTTGATCTTGGTGAAGCGCGACATGAGCTTGGAGCGCGTGACGCAGCCGCGCTGGTCAACGAGCTGGATGGGGGCGCGTTTCCCGTCGTGGGCCATGCAGTTGCGGACGAGCATGTCGAACTTGGAGTCGTCGTCCTTGATGGCGAGCACCATGGTCATCGTCTGGCCGATCTTGACCAGGCCGGAGACCTCGGAGGCCCAGGGGCCTTTGCCGACTTGGATCTGCATCCAGCAGCCGACGTTGTCGCCGGCGAAGTCGGCGCGGACCACGTCGAGCATGTCGACGGGGAAGGGACGGAACGTGACGGACTTCTCGTACTGGTCGTGCCAGGTGCAGCGGAGCTTCCGAGCCTGGTCCCAGACTTCTTGGACCTGCGGGTCGTACTGGATGACGATGATGTTCTCGAAGTAGGTGCCGGACCCGGAGTCAGCGCCGTAGCCGTAGAGGCCGTTCTCGGTGTTGCCGGCGGTGCCGCAGGCGTGAATGCTGATCTCGAAGCTGGCCGAGGTTCTGCCCAAGCCGGCCGGGAGGTGGACGCAGTTGACGTTGCTGTAGTGTCCCTTGCTGAAGACGATCCCGTAGAAGGGCTTGTCGAAGCCGATGAAGACCTTCATCAGGTTCTTCTCGCACTTGACGTCCAGGGACACGATCTTGGGCATGTCGGAGGTGGAGATGGGCCAGGGCTCTCCGCCGTTGTAGAGCTTGTCGAGGACCTCGGGGGAGGGTGGGAGTGCTGGCGGGTGGGCTTTCT